TACTGTTAGATTACCACTCAGCTTTTGCTGAGCGTATAGCGTTGTTTTCCCTTTGCTATACGCAGGTAGGCAAGAGAACCATGGAGCCTGACCCGGATGACTGGGTGATAGGAGCTGCGGATGAACGACAGTGCGGGCCAGATGAATTACTTATTTAATTTATGAAAACGTTTTGGGCATGAACCCACCTTTTGTCGCATTTACGTTATTTATAACCTAACAGTTTTACTTACATTTACTTCCTCTATAAACTTCTTTTAAGTGAATCCATCCTCATCATTTAATAAAGCATGTTAAGGGTTTTCCGTTACAAGCCACGCGAGGGGTTTTTCCTTGTAGACGGCCTTAAACCGTCTACGTAACCTCCCCGGCACGTTGGACCGCGGTGAACCGGGTTCGCGGGACGGAGGGTGTTACATTTTGGTATCAGAGCCCATTACGGTTCTAAAAAAAACTTTTGAAACCCATTTTGAAAAAAAAAACATTCTCTTCAGAACCCACTGTCGCATCCCGCTTCGTATCTCCACCGGGAAAGGTAACCGTATCATCTGAGTTGTTATTATTATTATTACTTAACCTGATAGGAAATCTCCTTCCAGAAAGGATATGAGTCAAGCTCCCGAGCATGGACAAGTTGGTCCTCAAGGAGAACAGGATCACGTGAGTGTGCATACCGAGGCGTCTAGCTTTACACCGCAGCATGAAGTTCCGGAGCCGCTAGTTCCGCAACTGAATGCCGTACCTCAGGCGGTTCCTTATCTGCATCCGCAGATGGCGGCCAACATGCTCCAGTTCCTCCAGCAGATGGCCGGGGCGCATGTACCACCACCACCGCCGCCGCTTCCTATGGTCGTGGTCACGATTGAGAAGCTGAAGAAGAACGGAGCCGAGGAGTTCTGTGGCGACCAGATCGCGGAATCCATGGTCGTGAAGCGCTGGCTCGAGCGTGTGAGTCGAGTACTTGGGACCTTACGAGTTCCAGCAGAGCAGAGAGGCGACCTAGCTATCGCCTTACTTCAGGATGCCGCCTACGACTAGTGGAAACGCGCAGGAGCGAACATCCCGGAGCCGGTGCCGTGGGCGACCTTCGACGAGCTCTTCTGTGAGGAGTATGTGCCCGAGCACTTCATGGAGGAGAAGCGTGACGAGTTCATGAAGTTCACGCAGGGTGAACTTACGCTGCCAGAGTATCGCCAGAAGTTCGATGAGCTGGCCGAGTTTGGTCGGGACTTGGTGCCGACAATGGAGAATAGATGCAAGCGCTTCAGGGAGGGGTTACGCCCTGATTTGTCCTCCGGACTGGTCTTCGCACCGAGGAATGACATCAACGACTTGTACAAGCAGGCGTTGGAGTTACAGACGACCTTACTCTTACTCAGGAAGGCTGAGTATGAGCAGTCCCAGACGACGCATCCTCGACCGCCACCGCCATCCAGATCCGGCTCGAGCAGCAAGAGGCCTCCTCACATACCGAGCAGCTCGCACTCGAGCAAGAAGGTTAGGTCCGCACCAGCCGCGTCGTCAGCACCCACTCAGAAGAGTGGGAAGAGCTAGAGTCAGAGCGGATATCGGAACTCGATCTGCAACCTCTGCGGCCGGAGGCACTCCGGCGAGTGCTGGTTCACTCAGGGCCTATGCCTTGGGTGTGGAAAGGCCGGGCATTACTGCAGGAACTGCCCGATAGCGCCCGCAGCCGCAGCCTCTGCTCCAGCAGCCCAGCCTGCACCGAGTCAGAAGTCGGTAGCGGCGTCCAGTCAACCGAAAAGGCCGGCTCAGAGCACTCAGTCTGGGAAGGCTCCAACTCGTACTTATGCGATGCATGGACGCACTGAGCAGCCCGCTTATGATGTGATTATGGGTATGTTCACCTTATTCGATACATCCATATCTGCTTTGATTGACCCAGGTTCCACATTGTCATATCTGTGTACATCTATGCCTGAATCGTTTAATATTCCGAGAGAGAACCTGGAGAATCCGGTGATTGTGTCCAATCCGTTGGGACACAGTCTATGTCTCAAATATATCTATCCTGGCTGTCCGCTAGTTGTGCAAGGGAAGAGCTTCCCTGCAAATCTGATAGAGCTCCCACATCGAGAATTTGATGTTATCCTGGGCATGGATTGGCTTACAGCCAATCAAGCCGTTGTTGATTGTGGCACACATACGGTACGGCTGAAAGCCGAAGATGGTAATGACGTTCTGATCCGTGGCGAGCTTTTCCCGAAGGCTCCCGAATTTATCTCATATATGCAAGCTCGTCGCCTCATACGCAAGAAATGCGAGGCCTTTCTTTGCACCGTCCGCGACACGTAGCTAGAGGCACCCGGACGGGAGGAAATCCCTACGGTGTGCGAGTTTCCAGACGTATTTCCAGACGAGCTGCCCGGACTACCACCCCCGAGGGAGGTAGAGTTCTCCATCGACTTGGTTCCAGGTACGGGACCCATCTCCATCACACCTTATCGCATGGCCCCGGCAGAGATGAAGGAGCTGAAGGCTCAACTGCAGGAGCTCTTGGATAAGGGTTTCATACGTCCTAGTGTGTCCCCTTAGGGTGCACCAGTCCTATTCGTTCGCAAGAAGGACGGTTCGATGAGGCTGTGCATCGATTACCGTCAGCTGAACAAAGTCACCATCAAGAATCGTTATCCTCTTCCTCGCATTGATGACTTGTTCGATCAGTTGAGAGGAGCCACAGTCTTCTCTAAGATTGATCTGCGATCAGGGTACCATCAGATCCCGGTCAAGAAGGAGGATATTCCTAAGACAGCGTTCCGCACACGTTATGGTCACTACGAGTTCACGGTGATGCCTTTTGGGTTGACCAACGCACCGGCTGTCTTCATGGATCTGATGAACAGCGTGTTTCGTGAGTACCTTGATCAGTTCGTGGTTGTTTTCATCGACGATATCCTGGTGTACTCCAAGACGCGTGAGGAGCACGCGGAGCACCTGCGTACAGTACTCGGCATCCTACGAGAGCAGAAACTTTATGCCAAGCTGTCCAAATGTGAGTTTTGGTTACACGAGGTCACCTTCCTTGGCCACGTCATCTCGGGTGAAGGAGTGAAGGTGGACCCGTGTAAGATCTCGGCAATCACGGAGTGGAAGATTCCACGCAATGCTCGAGAGGTGAGGAGTTTCCTCGGGTTGGCAGGATACTACCGCCGATTCGTGAAAGACTTCTCGAGGATAGCTTCACCCTTGCACAAGTTAATGAAGAAGGACGTGAAGTTTGGCTGGACCGAGGCTTGTCAGCAGAGCTTCGAGAAACTGAAGGAGTGTTTGACCCAGGCACCCGTATTGGTTCAGGCGACCCGAGGAGTGGAGTATACGGTATACAGCGACGCTTCACACAATGACCTAGGGTGTGTTCTTATGCAGGAGGGTAAGGTTGTAGCTTATGCGTCTCGGCAGTTGAAGCCGCACGAGTGCAACTACCCAACACACGATCTGGAGTTGGCGGCGATCGTTCTCGCTCTCAAGATTTGGAGGCATTATCTGTACGGCGAGACGATGCGTATCTTCACCGATCATAAAAGTCTGCAGTATCTCTTGAGTCAGAAGGATTTGAATCTACGACAGCGGAGATGGTTGGAGTTGATTAAGGACTACGACTGTCATATCGCTTATCACCCTGGTAAAGGCGAATGTGGTGGCTGATGCTCTTAGTCGCAAAACTCTAGCCGTACTCCGAGTTCAGCCTACATTGTTGCATGAGATTGTGACGGCACAGAGCAGCGGCGATTTCTGCAGGCAGACCTGTGAGCTCCCCTCTCGGGGCGAGAAACCCGACTTCTCTGTCCGTGAGGATGGTGTCTTGTTGTATCGGGCACGTGTGGTAGTGCCAGTGGGGGAGGTAAGGGAACGTCTCCTCCGTGAAGCACATAGTACGGTATATACCATGCACCCCGGTAGTAACAAGATGTTCCAGGATCTCCGGAAGCATTACTGGTGGCCACCAAGATAGTTTTAAAAAAAGGGGTACCAATCATGTTACCAATCATTTCTTGCGTATGAGGCGACGAGCTTGCATATATGAGATAAATTCAGGAGCCTTCGGGAAAAGCTCGCCACGGATCAGAACGTCATTACCATCTTCGGCTTTCAGCCGTACCGTATGTGTGCCACAATCAACAACGGCTTGATTGGCTGTAAGCCAATCCATGCCCAGGATAACATCGAATTCTCGATGTGGGAGCTCTATCAGATTTGCAGGGAAGCTCTTCCCTTGCACAACTAGCGGACAGCCAGGATAGATATATTTGAGACATAGACTGTGTCCCAACGGATTGGACACAATCACCGGATTCTCCAGGTTCTCTCTCGGAATATTAAACGATTCAGGCATAGATGTACACACATATGACAATGTGGAACCTGGGTCAATTAAAGCAGATATGGATGTATCGAATAAGGTGAACATACCCATAATCACATCATAAGCGGGCTGCTCAGTGCGTCCATGCATCGCATAAGTACGAGTTGGAGCCTTCCCGGACTGAGTGCTCTGAGCCGGCCTTTTCGGTTGACTGGACGCCGCTACCGACTTCTGACTCGGTGCAGGCTGGGCTGCTGGAGCTGAGGCTGCGGGCGCTGTCGGGAACGCCTCACCAGGGTTCGTCGGGCGTAACCCCTCCCTGAAGCGCTTGCATCTATTCTCCATTGTCGGCACCAAGTCCCGACCATACTCGGCCAGCTCACCCTGCGTGAACTTCATGAACTCGTCACGCTTCTCCTCCATGAAGTGCTCGGGCACATACTCCTCACGGAAGAGCTCGTCGAAGGTCACCCACGGCACCGTCTCCGGGATGTTCGCTCCTGCGCGTTTCCACCAGTCATAGGCGGCATCCTGAAGTAAGGCGATAGCTAGGTCGCCTCTCTGCTCTGCTGGAACTCGTAAGGTCCCAAGTACTCGACTCACACGCTCGAGCCAGCGCTTCGCGACCATGGGTTCCGCGATCTGGCCGCCACAAAACTCCTCGGCTCCGTTCTTCTTCAGCTTCTCAATCGTGACCACGACCATAGGAAGCGGCGGTGGCGGTGGTGGTACATGCGCCCCGGCCATCTGCTGGAGGAACTGGAGCATGTTGGCCGCCATCTGCGGATGCTGATAAGGAACCGCCTGAGGTACGGCATTCAATTGCGGAACTAGCGGCTCCGGAACTTCATGCTGCGGTGTAAAGCTAGACGCCTCGGTATGCACACTCACGTGCTCCTGTTCTCCTTGAGGACCAACTTGTCCATGCTCGGGAGCTTGACTCATCTCCTTTCTGGAAGGAGATTTCCTATCAGGTTAAGTAATAATAATAATAACAACTCAGATGATACGGTTCCCTTTCCCGGTGGAGATACGAAGCGGGATGCGACAGTGGGTTCTGAAGAGAATGTTTTTTTTTCCAAAATGGGTTTCAAAAGTTTTTTTTTAGAACCGTAATGGGCTCTGATACCAAAATGTAACACCCTCCGTCCCGCGAACCCGGTTCACCGCGGTCCAACGTGCCGGGGAGGTTACGTAGACGGTTTAAGGCCGTCTACAAGGAAAAACCCCTCGCGTGGCTTGTAACGGAAAACCCTTGACATGCTTTATTAAATGATGAGGATGGATTCACTTAAAAGAAGTTTATAGAGGAAGTAAATGTAAGTAAAACTGTTAGGTTATAAAGAACGTAAATGCGACAAAAGGTGGGTTCATGCCCAAAACGTTTTCATAAATTAAATAAGTAATTCATCTGGCCCGCACTGTCGTTCATCCGCAGCTCCTATCACCCAGTCATCCGGGTCAGGCTCCATGGTTCTCTTGCCTACCTGCGTATAGCAAAGGGAAAACAACGCTATACGCTCAGCAAAAGCTGAGTGGTAATCTAACAGTAGAACGCATAGCACATTCACATTGATATAGACATGATCGTACCTGAACTAA